TAAACCATGCGACGCGTGCTGATGTGTCAGTGGAATCCAGGTCAATTGCGCCAATGTGTGGCCTAGATCAGTGGTTTACAAAGTAGAAGCTGCCAGGGGGCGGTAAGGAGGCTTTAGAAAATTGAAAGAAAAATAACGTAAAAGAAAAGCCTTATTATTATTTTATAACAATTTAACCTGACTGGTTTATGTCTGCTATCAAGCTAGCATGTAGCTAGGTAGTGCCATTTGGACAGTGCTGAAAACATGTTCTTAAATAATTTTCTTGTGCTAAACAAAATTAAATAATGTTGTAGCATTGTCTGTCAGTTTGCAAAGGGGGCCACTGCCAGAAGCTAATGCTGTGTGGGGGGCCTTGATGTGGATACTTTTGTGAACCCCTGGCCTAGGCAAGAGAGTCAGGCTTGAAATCAGAGGATTTAGGTTTGAATCCCACCTTGGCCAGCTGTGTTGTGATGAGCAACCATCAATTCTCACTTCTGAAAGCCACACTGCACCTCAGGCAAGGGTTGTACAAAGACAGAAAATGTGATTCTTCTCAGTCGATGTTGCAGTTCTTGATCACGCAGTGTGAACATTAAGACTTTTTTGTCAATTGATTTTCCTTTTCCTTTAAAATTCATCCTTTTTATCCTATTTAATACTATCCACAGATAGATAGCAGACAGAAAGACAGAGAGACAGACAAACAGACAGACAGACAGACAGACAGATAGATAGATAGATAGATAGATAGATAAATCAATAGATAGATAGATAGATCGATCGATCGATCGATCTATCTATCTATCTATCTATCCATCTATCTATCTATCTATCGATCTATCTATCTATCGATCGATCGATCGATAGATAGATAGGTCGATAGATCGATAATTCGATAGATAGATAGATCGATAGATCGATAAATCGATAGATAGATCGATAGATAGATAGATAGATAGATACTCTTTCTTTGCCCAGTTCTTATATTACAGACGTAATTCACCACCAGACTAAATGAGCTGTGTAAATGAATATACCGTGACGCATGAATTCTGAAGGCAACCAACACCAATACAGATCATTAATGTATTTTCTCCAGGCCTAAAATGGCATGGAGATCATCACAGTAATCAGCTGAGCCCAATGACGCAAGTAGTGGTTTTATAAGCAGGAGAAGGGAGATGAGTGGAGTAAACAATTTAGAAAAATATCTCTGTTATTGAAGTGCAAAATTTTTGAAGCATCAAGGTTGCGGCACTACTTTGATCCAAAAGGATGCCTAATATGTTTAAAGCAGTGACGCATCCCTGACAGGCTGTTTCACACGTTTCACCATGGAGGTGGAAATAAAAGGTGGAAAGGTGTGCTTCCGAGAGCAGCTGTCGAAATCCTTGAAATCCAGGAATGAAGTGTCTCCTCACATTATGTCTGACGTTGTCTCCGACGTGCATACATACACCACATGTGTGCACTCAGTAGAGCTCAGCAGACCGGATCATATGAGTGTGAATTTATGTGTAAAATTTGCAGTCCTTGTCTTGGCTGTTTCTGAGGTATTTTTAGCATCGACCAATAAAAATCCTCATTTAAGATTTTTTTTGTATTATATTATTTTACAATTTTTAAGTGAATTTAACTAAAATGGTAAGTGATATATAGAAAGTGAAACTTCAGCCAACAAAAACAATGTGTCCATAAATGGACAAATGTTGTGGTCTGCTTGTTTGCAGGAAGGAACATAGCAGTGTCATGGCTGCATTTGGCTTGTTTGAGCTTTTGGCATGTTTTCTCTGGTTTCCCTGTAACTGTGACACCTGCAGACCACTGTGGTTCGGTTTGAGAACAGTTACATAGTGACAGAGAATTTCACAGCTTGTTTGTGTTGCACGTGTTGCCTGTAGGCTATGTCTCTTAACTCCCACTCACTGCTTGCAGTGAAAGTTCAGGACAACAAAAAGGGACAACTCTTTTAGATATTTTGGAGAAATCCAGGGCCCTGATCTAACTATATGACATATGTCAAGGTTTATGTCAACATAAAACACTTTTTTTTTAAATTGCACAATGTCTGACGTGTGTGAGGACAATAAAGACAGCTTTATGTTTAGTTGTTACATTTCAATAATTGTGGTCAGAGAGGAAAGAGGTGGGTCATTTTATCGTCAACAATCCATTGTAAGGGTTGGGAATTAGCATTTTGGCTAAGCAGTCAAACTGCCCCTAGCTGTGAGAAATGAAAGATCTTCTCACAT